AAAGACAAACTCCATCACTTCATGCTTGAAAGAATCCACTTGAGATAAAAAGGACAGCTAACAAGGCAGGAAGACACTGCTGTTGCATCTAAAAGGCAAACCAGCGTTGCCTCCTAGAACCCAAGTGAAGAAAGTATTCAAGTGAAGAGTGTTTCAGCAAAGGAGACATCGGAGTCAAATCCTGCCCACAGGGCTAGTACCATAAGGATTGGGACTTAATCATTTGCTTTGGCAAAATAGAGGTTACTGCTCACCTTAACAAGAGCAGTTCAGTCAAGTGAAGGGATAAAAGCCTATTGAATAAAGGGACAAGTAAATGAATGGATTGGCTAGATGTATTCAAGTACCCCAGGGATGACCATTGGTTTGTTCATATTGGAAGGGATTAAGTCACAACAGCCATCTTAAAAACTAGATATTCTGTGCTGTCCCATCATATTATCATAAAATTGAAAGAAAAGTCCCATGAAAGATCCTTGAAAACTCTTAGGTTGCTGCACACACATGAGATTCTATTACTCATCACTAGATTTAAAGTTCAGTCCCTACAGAAGTGGCTTAAACTTTTTTGCCTTGTTGCAAATCACTCTAAAAATCAACCTGTAAAAACGGCCCCTTTCTGTTCATGTCCTTTAGGTAAAAAACAAAAACAAAAACAAACCTAAGTTTTCCTGGAATTGAGATGTATAGACATTTTCTTTTTCCTTTTTGCTTCAACTGCCAGAAACTATAATCAAATTAACTGTCTATGTGTTGACCTGCTCAGCTTAGATTCGTGGTGCCAAAAACCCCTTTTTCCATGCTTCTTTACTTTAAATATTATCGACTCCAAGTTTCCTCAAATTAATTGTTCTGCTAAATCTTAAATCCAAAAATGACTTGATTGTGGAGAGTCAAACATCAAACGCACACCCACACCGAGAGGGAAGTTGCTTCAGTTTTGCGTTAGCCTTTACTCCCTGGAATGTGCCAGGCTCCTCCTGCCTCAGGGTGTAGATACAGTTTGCTCTGTCTGGAACTCTTCATCCACACCTGGCTGACTCGCCTTGCCCATTTTATATGTTCCAATCACACCATGCACCGTCCCTTCACAGCACTTACCACATTAATTATTAAAATAAAGATGGTAAAACAAATTTACCACCTTTTATTTCTCTTGCCCTTCACTCTGCCCAAAGTGCCAAAGAGGTAAAAATGTAGGCACCGCAAGATCTCTAAGGTAGATAGTTCCTGCAATTGAGATAAGTAAAAGTGAGTGGCCAACATTTTTAAATTTAGAAATTTATTCTGTTTAATCCACAAGCTTTATATAGCTTTAGTTTAAAAAAACAAAACAAAACAAAAACAAAAACAGTGAAAACGAGACACTATTTCAAAGTCTGGGCCCTTCCAGCCTTCCAAATACAAGAGCTCTGAAAGTTGTATATATCAATTGGAAGAATAAGACAAAATTATGAATGGAGCCATGACATTTCATAAAACAAATTTTATATAACTGAAGGATCCTTCCTGGGACTAGTTAATTGCCTTTACAAAAAAAAAAAAAAAAAAAAAAAACACAACAGAATAGGATGAAATTCCAGTGTTCCAAATCAACTTGTTACACATCAATATAAACCCACAGTGTCCTGGCAAACAACATGCTTTCATTTTCTGTCTCATCCTAGAGCTCGAATCCTGATTCATTTCAGCAGAGACTCCACAGGCAACAGGAAAGATTGTGGCATTAAAATATTCATGTTATACTTTTGTGGTAGTTCAACAGTGGTCTTATTTTTGGGCAAGCTTGCAAACCATACAAGGTCGGAAGCATAACTTAAATGGGTGCTAAGACTCAAATGAAAAAAAGTAATGGGGAAAAAAAAGAAAAATGAAAGAAAAAAAAAGGAAAACTTCTGGAGATAGTAAGGGGCATTTAAAGAAATCATAAGAATGCCAACAATATTTAAACCCCCTTTTTTAAAAAGGGGATTTTTTTTTTGGCTTAAAATATTTCACTCTAAATGAATTTATGTCAGCTGTCAATGAAAGAATGTCACTAATACACTGTGGACACCTTTTGCAATGTAAATCCATGCCCTTTTTTACATGGTGAACTTCAACCTAGCAATTATTACAACAAATGTTATAGTCTAAAGCTCAAACACATTTTAGCAATTTTGAAATTGAATTGAGTACAAACCAAATAAAATTTACATCATAACAAACATTTCCACCTAAGACTGTGGGGACACTTGAGCCTTCCGCATTGATCTCAGGGCCTTTTCGCGTAGGTGCTTTTCTAAGTCATCAAGGTTATCTTCAGCTTCACTTTCAGTCTCCTAGAAAACCCAGAAAGGTCATATTGTTAAACTCACAAGACACTGAGTACAGAGCAAAATCAAACTGCGATGATGGCTGCACAACTCTATGAATATGCTGTAAACCACCGAACCATATATTATAAATGGCTAAATTATGTGGTATGTTAATTATATCTCGAAGTGATTTTAAAAATATGCACAAGGCTTTTTTGGCAGCCATTCATATTCTCATCCCTAGTCTTGGCAAATTCCTGTTCTTGATAGGTCATCAAGAAACAGATCAATAGAATTATCATTCAAGTAGCTGATCATTAGAAAAATCATTTAGCTACTTTTCAAAATCAAATCCACCCACTTGTATAAACCACAAGACAGTGTGTCCACAAATACCTTCTTAGGCTCTGGCTCTGCCTCTGGCTCTTCCTGTGCTGATGTGGTCGTGGGAGCAGCAATGGCTGCAGGGGTCACAGTAGCTGCAGCAGCTGCAGCCACAGCCTTTTCCTTCTTGTGTTTTTTGTGTTTCTTGTGCTTCTTATCCTTTTTATGTTTCTTGTCCTTCTTTTTCTTCTTTTTCTTTCCACCTCCTTCTTGGTCTGAATTCTATAAATCAAAAAAATTACAGCAATAAAATCGATCATTAAAATTCTGTCCAACTGAACATTTCCTCAAGGAAGTAACTAAATGGACCAAACGTCAAGATTTCTTAAGGCTTCAGGGGAATAAAAGGCCCAAGGCCAATCACCACTAATAAAAGTGCTCCTAGAGATGGGAACCGCATTGAAAGCAAAGATATTCTTCACCAATTTTGAGTCAAAATGAACCTTGAAGATAACTGGTTTTTTCCAATTTTAACCAACTAACTTCATATTAAACCAGGTTTCCTGACCACAAGCTGAGTCAGGTCTCCATGACTGCAGTGAGTCAGGGTCTGTCTCCAGATGTTAAGGAAAAGCATCATGTGTAACAGAAAGAGAAGGCTCTGAACTCAAGTAGGCTTAAGCTGAATTCTGGTTTCTGAATCTAGTAACTATCTGACCTCAGACAAATCTGCTCGGCTTTTTTCCTGAGCCAACCTAAACTGTGTGTAATAATCCTTGATAAAGCTGTTGTGGTGATTAAATGGGTATATCTGTAAATCACTCACACTACTAGCCTATAGGGCATGGATTTACATTGCTCTGATATGGTTATTACTCTAAATACATGCTTGTATGAACGCCATGTCTCTGATCTCTCCTATCTCTAGAATGGAAGTGGTTTATTCTTTACTGCGTACGTGCCAAATTAAGCAAAGGGCAGGCTCTGCTATAATTGAATCTAATCTGTAATTCTTAAATTTCACATTTCACGTTTCTAAGCAATGACTTAAAATCCCCCAATCTATTCAGTTAATTTGCACAATAATTTAGTCAACCCTATTTAGTTGGACATTTAACCCCTGATTTTATACAATACAGCAATCTGTCCAAAATCATAAAAGGGAAAAAAGGTTTACACTCCAATAGTGCACCCTAATAATATTTAAACTTGACAATGTCAAAAAGAGTGGTATTCTTATGTAGCTTGCCCAAAACAAGACTATGTAGGACAATAAAGTACTTTCCATTCCATCTACTATTTCAGATTTTAACATTCATTTTTTCTTATAGAAATAATATATAGTTGACCCGTGAATAAAATTAAGGTTAGAGGCGTCAATCCTCCATGAAGTCAGAAATTCGCATATTAACTTTTGACCCCCCCCACCCCAAACTTAATTACAGCCACCCCTCAGTATCAGAGGGGAATTGGCTCCAGGAAACCCCACGGATTCTAAAAATCCAGAACTCTTCCTTACAAAAATGGCTTAAAAACAATGCAGTCGGCCTTCCACATTCATTTTATCTGGGGTTGGCTGAATTTGCAGATGCAACCCCTGGGGATATCAACAGCTGACTGTGTATTTATTGAAAGCCAACAAGCAAAACAAATGAACAAAAAACCACAGGTATAAGTGAACCCGCACAGTTCAAGGGACAATTGTTATTTCCATTGTATGTTATTTCCATTGGAGGGAAAATAAGAGCATTAAAGAGCAAAGAAGAAAAATTCAAATTACTCAACATTCCCTTAACATGTAACCCACTGTCAACTTTTGGTATCTTTTGTGATACATACTTTTTCCTTTATAAACACTGAATCATTATTAATAGATTCAACTTATGATTTAAAGCTTTACTGATTTGTGAGATCGTAACTAGGTATCCCCAAATGTGTCAAACACTAGAGAAACCAGCAGAAAAACTAAGGTGCTTTCTCCCTCAATAACAGAATCATGGGCAATTCTTTCTTTTGTTCTTAAAGATTTTCGATATAGTCTAATCTCGACCACCAAGGTTCTGGAGTTTAACATGACTACACACATCACAAATTAATGGGTGGCTAGACTGTTAAGCATGAATTGCTGATGCAATCACCATCGCTTAATGGTGCCTCCCTGAAGTCTACCTGAACCACAAAAAATGCTCCTGAGCTACAAAAAATTTTCTCTGCTTCCAAATGACCATATACAATTATAAAGGATGTCCAAGACAGGGTAGACACATACCCTTGCCGGCGATGGGCTGGGTGTTGGGCTTTTAGCCTTTTTGACTGGTACGGCTGGTGACCAGTTGGTAGAGGGTGACTGAGACTGGACAGGAGATGGAGGTGCTGGGGGTTTTTTAGCTGCTGGCTCAGGAGATCCTGAGACAGATCGGGAAGATGAGACCCTCCTTACAGATTGAGGGCTTGGTGAGGCAGCCCTAGATTAAAGGAAAAACAAAACATTTATTATCGAAGAACAGAGATCTTTCCTAAGAGAGAATAAACGACTACCATTATACAATCAGGTCAGAAACTTTAAATACTTTACGGGCCTTAGTTTGCTGGTTGATTCTACTAACTCAGATTTATATCATCTAAGTCTCCATCTAAGCTCTACAAACTTCTTTCTATTCCAATGATTCTTCCTATATTAAAGTAACAATGCCAATTCTTTGTATTTAAGACTGCTTTTATCAGTCTCACGTAGACATCCAAGAAATGTTCTATGCATCACTTCAGAGTTTACTTTTGGAAGTACACCCTCAATTAACCTGATACTCCTAAAAACCAAGTAAAAATCCTACGGCATTGAGTTTATGCCATAAGGAACTATCCTTAAAATAGAAAAAGATCTCTGAATAGTACCTAGAATGTCTCAAAAGTTTGTGTTCACAGCTTATTCTTTTCTGTAATTTCTTAGTAAAGGAAAAAAAGCTTCCAAACACAAGGAGAGAGTTCCTAACCAAAAAGCATAAAATGTTTTTACTTTTTTGTCTTTTTGGGTTCCGGAGTCCTGGAGACTCTCCTAATGGGCCTAGTGCTTGGAGATGGGGACTGCCTTCTTTGGGGTGAAGGTGACGGTCCTCTTCGAACAGGTGGAGGACTTGAGGTCGTCTGGGGAGCTCGAGGCCGTGGTGAGGGCGAATGCCGTTTGTTTGGTTGTGGTGATCGGGCCTCCCGGGTAGATCGGCTCGGGGAAGACCCTTTCCTATGCTTTGATGACAATGAAGGTGAACGTCTCTTGGTGACTGGGGAGCTTCTTTGTTTGGGAGGTGGAGAATGGGAGACCCGATGCTTTGGTGGTGGAGACGGCGATGCCCTTCGTTTAGGAGGGGGTGGGGGAGAAGCTGTTCTTCTCTTTGGAGGTGGGGAAGGAGAGTATCTCCTCTGTATTGGAGGAGAGTATCTTCTTGGGGAAGGTGAACGTCGACGTGGAGGAGGAGAAGGAGTCCTAGAAAAAATACATCATTAAGCTGAGAGGTCCAACAAAGAAGCACTATACAAAGCAAACTAACCAGCAATTATGGCTACACAGGCATACCCCACAGGTATTGCAGGTTTAGTTTCAGATCACCAGAATAAAGAGAATATTGCAATAAACCAAGCCAAATTTTTTGGTTTCCCAGGGCACGAAAAGTTGTTTGCACCATACTGTAGTCTATTAAGTACGCAATAACATTGCCATTTTTTTTAAAAAAAAGATATATAAATTTAAAAATACTTTACTGCTAAAAAAAAAAAAAAAGTTGTCATTTTGCTGGGGGAAGATCTTGCCTTGATGGCAATGAAAACGTAGTATTTGCAAAGCTCAATAAAACGAGGTATGCCTGTACTGTACTAGCACCAGGCAAGGGAATAGATTTCTAAGTAGAAATGCTATACCTCTATCCTCATTTAAAGTAATTATTCCTGTTTATCATAGATGACTACCAAGTAGGACATTCTGAATAGAGAAATTTAGTTTTCAGAATGAATTCAGATTTGTCACATCATTTAACCTTATCCATATGAATTCAATTTAATGTTTTTTTGGAGAACAGAATCTTGTACTGCTTTGAGGAAACGGAATACTCTGTATCATTATATAATAACTAGACACCTACATTAGCAAGACTCTACTGACTGAAGTCAACTTACGAAGTTTGTGCATTAAGAGTTCTCTTCTATGTGGTACCCTTATTGAATTGGCATTTGGACTCTAGCCACTGCTAGGCAGGAAGCATCCCTGTCATACTCCAACCTGGTCTTCCTCTTAATGCTAAATTCCTACATAACCCTTACTTGCCTCTTAGGAATTAGGCCTGAAAATAAGTAACAGGTCCAACTATCTAATTTGCTCTTGAAACTTTCAGACCTTGAGCTCAAATTATTTTCCTGGCTAGAATTACATTTATACTAGGCCATTATCTTTTAGGCAACATGGTAGAGTGAAGTTCCACTTTTGCCCATGCGCAATTTTAATAACTCTGAACCTCCATTCCTTCACCTGAATATGAGAACAATACCACCCACCAAACAAGGTCACATTGAGGACTGGCAATAAAGCACATAAGCATCTAGCACTTCACCTGGCACATAACAAGCATTCAAGAATGGTAGTTGCCATTACACTGCTTGGTAACATACCTGAGCAACACCATTATAATTTTTTTCTGTAACTTTTTTAATTTTGAAATCATTTTAGATTTACATAAGAGCTACAAAAAGTGGCGATTTGCCACTTAATATCTTATATAACCATAGAAAAATCATCAGAACTTAAATCAACCTCAATTGATATTAAAATATCACTATCGCCTATTTTCCAGTAATGTCCTTTTTCTGTCCCAGGTTCCAAAAATCAGAATCCTACATTGCATTTAGTTGTCTTATATCCAAAGTTCCTGCTAATTTGTAACTGTTACTCAGTTTGTCTTTCATGACTGACATTTTTTAGGACTTACTGGTCAATTCCTCCCTAGAATGACCTTCAAATTGAGATTGTCTGATATTTCATAATTAGACTGAGGTTCTGCGTAACTGGTAAGGATTCTACGGAGATATCTAGGAATTGTGTGATGCCAATATGTATCACTGGGTATGTTAACTTTGATTCCTTAGTTAAGAAGGCATCTGCTGGAAAGTCTTCAATAAGTTAATATTTTTCTCTTTGTAATCACTAAACAGAGTTTCTGCCTAATGTATTTAACAACATTAACATAATTCGCATACCATAAAATCCACCCATTTAAATAAAGTGTACATTTCAATAGTTTTAGTATACAGTTGAACAATCGTTATCACTCCCCATTACCACCTTGGCAACACTAATCCACTTTCTATCTACAGATTTCTGTGTTCCAGACTTTTCACATAAATGGAATCATATAATCTGTGGTGTTTTGTGAATGGCTGAGCGATGTCACCCTAATGAAGTGTTTCGATCCTGAAGAGTCATAGCTCTCTAATAAGCCTATCTGACAGCACCTTCGTCGGGGTGGCGGTGTGGGAGACCTGCGCCGTCGGGGAGGAGGAGCAGGAGAAGGAGACCGGCGTCTTCTGGTGGGCGGTGGGGAGGGGCTTCGCCGCCGTCTACCACTAAACCAAAGAAGAATTATAGTTGATTCTGAGTTAGTGGCATTTATAATCAAGTGCACCAGATGAGTTTCAATCTTTGTAAACCCAAAGTGCAGCAACTGTTACTCTACCCATTGGAGCAGTGTTCTTCAGACTACAGGTCAAGACCAGTAGCTAAGACCATGGGTAACAACCAGCATTTTTTAAAAAATAGAAAATCAGAGTCTGTTACTTGTAATAAGGGTAAAGATTGTTTTGTGAAATTTTTGTTTCAGTGTATAATTACATAGTCTGCGTTATGACAAAAACCTTAACATAACGTAGCAAAAATGTTTGAAAACACTGCCTTAGAGCACTGTTTTAAAATTGGCAGGCACGCCACAATCACCTGGGAAACTTATCTGAGCTCTGTGTTCACCAGATCTGAGCTATGAATATTCCGAACAGGCTCTTTCCAGGTGATTTTCTGATTCCTTTTTACAAGTGCATTAAAGCCTAGAAAAATTCAATGTTCTAATAGAGAATCAAAACTTTTAATAGTCACCAGCAGCTTAAAGTCCCTAATCTGGGTGTTACTACTTCATAGTTCTTGATTTTTTTAAATTTCCACTGTTCAAGAGTTGTATACTACTAACACTGTCCCAAAGACAAAGGACCAAAGTCATCTGAGCATTAAAAGCTATCACTGAAAGTAATTTGGTTAAGATAGAGACAAAGATCAAACACCTTAATCTGAGCTCAATAACACAATCAACACAAAAAACACCTGAAATTATGATTTTATCAACTAGACTAACTCGTAGCAATCTCCCTATAAATATATTAAAACATACACTAAGCCCATTTGCCACCTTTTGGTTAAGTTTGTGTATATAAAAAAGTTAAATAATGTTAATTCTTAATTTCTTGCCCAGTACAGGATTCCTGTGAATCTAAAAATATTTTCTGAAGTTTACTAGTCTTGGTTCCCCTTTCAGACTAAGAGCTCTGTTAACAGAACATAGAAACTTCTGAAATTATTAGTTTTCAATCTCTATTTGTTTATGCCTTGTGGGGACTAAGGCTTGCAGGTTTAAAATCTAACTATTAGAGGTGACATGTTAAGACAGAGAAGCTTCAGAGAAATGAAATATAAACAAAAACTATTAATTACAAGACAAGACAGTTAAAGGAGAAAACACTTCAACAGCAGGGTTCATCAGAATTATGAGACCTGGAGAAACAAGATGGCTACAGTATTGTTTCAAGAGGCAATGAAAATTTCAAACTGGAAAAGATATCTGGGTTTTGACTTAAAAAGAAAAAAGCAAAGGTTTACATTTGCAAACTTTGAGGACGAGGTGACATAAACCAGAACTCTTGAGATGCTATCAATAGGTATAAAAGCATAAGGGGCTATTACATTTTGATTATGTGGATTCTCTTTAAATATTCTCTCAATTTCAGGTCACAAATTTTAATCAGAAATTCTTATTAAAAATTAGACTCAGATTAGAATCTATTATGATACATTAATGACCCAAGATATTTATTTTATGCCTGTTTCATTTGTAAAATGAAAAGCTTAGTTACTAAAAGGTCCCTTTTTCAGTGATGACCTTTAATATCCTGTGTTTCTATGTGAGAATAATCAAAAAGAGAATAAAAATAAAACCATAACCAAAGTAGTGTTAACTTAAGGAACTGCCAGAAAAATCTGATCATCATTTATAAGTGAAGTTCAGATACATTCATGGCTCTATGACCTAAGGGCTATTTTCTTAACTGATCTGATAAGGCACACACTTCAGGGGTTTAAAAAAAAGCTAAGCATTTTCTCATTACTGATTACTAATGTCAAGTCACGCCTTCAAATGTGTACAGAAATTGTTGAGTAGCAAAGTTTTCCCCCTAAACTGTGTGAGAATCAGTTTCAATAAGCCTCGATATGTGATATAGCCCTTAGCTTCTCAAGAATTTAGGAATAGATGAGTATCATAAGAAGGAGCCAGCTTGCTATCTCTGCAGTGATCTCTTCAGAGCAATCTCACTTCACTAGTTATGCTGGTAATAGAGATGTGACAACTACCTAAGATGTCATCAACTACACTAAACATAAGTTAAGGGGTGTTCAATAACCAAAGACAATTGTTTAAAAGCATAGAAAATGTTACACTTTTCTGTGTTTATGTATACATAAAATATTTGAAACCAAGGCTGAATTTCCCCTCTTAAAATACAATAAATACTGAAGAATGATTTCAAATAATTATTTCTCCATCTCTAAATTCTAGACATCTGACAGCAATTTCTAACATCATTAAACTTGAGGCTACTAATATAACTTAGAACTTTTTTAATGAGAAACAAAACATCTTGGAGCACAGTAATAAACATTAGTTTTGATATCATTTTAGTGCGAAATCACTTTCTGGTAAAGTAAATAGTTCCATCATGGGTAGGGGAAGAAGGAAGGGAAAAAATCTTACCACTAATCTGATTTTGTGAAGTCATTTTTTAGCTGCTGTACTAGCAATTTTACAAAAGCTAGGGGTAATTACAGGTAGAAAGAGAATACCTTGAGCACCTAAATTTATCTCTTTTCGGTTTTTTGTGTTTTATTGACAAGTAACAATTACTTCCACAGTGTAAATTGCTCCACTACTAACATTGTTGACTGGTTCCAAAGAACCTTTCCAAGAAAATACTCTCATTAATGAGACCACCTAAAACAACACAGCTTCAAAAACTGAGCCAAAAATAATACCATGTGCTAGTTTCAGGAAGGATAAATGCTTAGAAATTTAGTGGCAGCTAACCCCCCAAAACTAGAAGACTAATGAAGATAGTATAATGGTACAACGTCAGTGACCCAGGTCTTTGTCACTTCGCTCATGAGATAGGCCTAATATAGAGATTTCTGAGTATAAATTGACTGTAAAATGTTATGGTTTTATGGTCACAAAGACAGTGATAATCAAAAAGGTTCAATAAGGATATGCAAACCTATCTTCCTACTATAAGAAACACCGAACAAGGGCCAAAGCCTTACATTCCTCTCCTACTTTTTTAAGTGTCTCCATGGTTTTTCTCGCCATCCCTAACATCAACATAAAGTCCTTTCCCACTAAAACTAAGGAACTATTATTATCCTACCTTTGGAAAAACCAGATACTGTAACTGCACAAAAAGCTAACTTCAAACAAGGCCCTAAAATGAACACTGTGTACAATTCTATTATTAATTTGATGTATAAAGAAATAAAATCAAACCAAAATAGCTTAACTTCTCCGTAGCCATACCCACTGTATACCTAGGAATGGAATAAGGTCACCTAAACAGTAAATTAAGCCATAAACTTTGACATGTAACCCTAATTTACAAAGTAGTGTCTAACCAACCTTTTAGTCATTGGCGATTGCCATCGCTTTCCCATCTGCATCCTGAGAGCAGTGGAGAAAAACAAATGTCAAGAATTCCGTTCACCAAATTATTTACTTCAATGGCGTTAAATTATCACTAATGGAGATATATTTTTAAAATGTTCAGACATTCAGGAATTAATGCTATAACTTAACTGGTATATTTCTGGTCATGCACACATATGACATGGTGGCACAAAACTTATGAAGTTCTCGTTAATTAGCTAATAACCACCAAAGAGAGCAAAGAAAACCCCCAAAGCCCCCCAATCTGACCACTTCCTTGTGTGAGTCCTTAAAATGAAGGAGTTAACCAAATTCTAAAATAAGACCGTAGCCCACCCCCATGGAACATCAGTGAAGATCATCGAAGAAAAGACATTACCGAGGAGAGGTCTCTTTCTGGCGCTTTCGAGGTGATGGAGAGGCACTCCGGGAAGGGGAATGTCTGCGCCGCCTGCCTACCTCACCATTCTTCACATGGGACCTCTTGGGTCGCTCATCTTCTGAGGAAGAGGAGGAGCCAGAATCTATAATTACACAATAAATAAAATATTTCAGTACGTCTGTGCTTAAAAGTCTGTCTACGTTTTCTGAATCTAAGTAGATAGTGTCCACTAACATAAGTGAGCACGTATACAAGCTATCACTTTTGAACAAAGGCAGTATCAATATTTGCTCAATGACTTGAAAGCCAAACATAAATATACATTACTATATAAATGAGATATATAAATCAATCATTTCCACAGCACAATTCAATAAGACAATGTCTTTTAAGGATCAGGCAATTTTCCAAATAAGTAAAGCATAAAAAGCACCTTAAGCAATCACTTGATTCTTTTTACTCTAAGCACTTTTTAAGGCTATGGAAAACCCTATTAGGGTTTGAATGGCTTATTTCTATATCCTTAGCATTTATCAAACAAAGAAAAATATGTATGAGGCCTAGTGACAAATGTCTAAGACTGCAAGGAGAAAAACTTCAATTGCTTGCAAATGGTTTCCTTAAACTGAAAATAATTAACAACTGTTCCCCAAATATCAAAACTCAAATTTAAAACAAAGTCCCAGGTACCAAAAACTCCCAAGACCTATAAACATTTTCAAACCCTTTCATGATTAACCTCGCCTTAAGAAAGTTGTAAAAGCTACATAAATAACTTTTAATTGACTTTCTGCTACTGTGGGATGCTTTGGTTTCCATTTTATAAATGCAAAGCAAAGGTAGTGTGCCCAGACTGTCACAAATACCAACTGATCTAAAAATCAGAACACCTGGTTTAAAACCCAGCTTTCTATGCACATATTCTAATTTAGAAATTCCACTTCTAATTAATATTTTACAGATATATTTACACAGTACACACACACTCACAAAAACAGAAATAACCTGAATGTCCAAAGAGGCAACTGGCTCACTAAATTATAGTATATTATAACAAAGAAGGCAGATCCATAGGAATAGGGAAACAGGTCTAGATATTACATTAAAATCGCAGGCAGTCTATGGTCATGCCACCATGAACAAGCCCAATCCTGTCTAATCTCGGAAGCTAAGCAGGGTTGGGCCTGGTTAGTATTTGGATGGGAGACCACCTTGGAAGACCAGGTGCTGTAGATGTAAAAAATAAAAAATAAAAATAAAACATCAGAGGTCCTTGCAATCTGTGAGATCAACCAAGGGTTGCCTTGCCTTAATAAACAAACAAACGCAGGCAGCATAACCTATAGCTTGAGCTTGTGTGGATTTTTTTTTTTCTTTTTAAACTACAGATGTTTATATGTGCATAATTTCTAAATAAAAGCTTTGGGGAATAAGACAGGGGAATGGGGAAAAAAACTATACTTTTCTAAGCAGGAAGAAAAAATTTAATCATTGTCCATACCAGATGAAGACTGCTGGTTCTGTCGTCTGTATTGGCGTCTTTGTTGCACAGAATCTGCTGCAGCCATTTTGCCACCTTTATCTTCTTCTGAAAGATGGATGCATTTAGAAAGTGTTTCTTTAGTTATGCATACAGAAAATATAACATATTTGAATAGGATTGAATATGGCCTCTTAAACCTTTTATCTGGTTGGGTGAAGCAATACAACTACCATGTATTATTATTTATTTATTAATTTTTGCAGAGGAGCTTAAAATGCCAATTTAGACTCTCAATCACCAAATGTACTCAAGCTTATTTAGGCATTTGCAACAGGTCAGGCTGGATGCCAAGCACTTTATAAACATTTCAGTGAAACAACAAAACCCTAAAGGGATGATATTCACATTTCAGATATGAAAAAAATGAGGCTCAGATAAATTAAGTAATTAAACAAAAATGGAGTTAAGTAGTGAAGTGTGGGATTCAAACCAGGTTGGTCTGACTTCAGAGTCCTAGCTCTTAAGCACTAAGCAATATCCTGTAACTAATCTTTAACTAAACGGGGATGAACAAATGTGCAACAACAAAGCTAATTCAGCTACAAACACACACACACACACACACACACAGACACTTACCCCATTCAGATAACTCTACTTTTCTAGGCTTGGGTGCTGGTGAAGGGGACTCTCTTTTCTCAGTACCTTTATGTTTTGTCACTAAAGAGTTAAGGTAAACAAACAAAAAAAATAAACAATAAAAAACCCCCACTTACATACAAGGGAAAAAAAGCATCACAAGACATCCTAACAGTACAAAAACAGGTATGACTATTCTCATAAAGAATTTACTGAGAATTATTAAATTCTGTAAGACCTTTTTGTCATTATCTGAACAATACCTGAAATGAAAACAATTTTTTTTTTTGAAACCAAGAATTTTTTAATGTTAGATGAAAACTCTCAAAAAGTTCTATGATTTTTGAATCTTGAGATTCTTCCAAAGAGAAAATAGTTGAGAGAAACTGGAAGCTGTTTCTGGGTAGGACAAGCTTTACACTATGTATATGACATTCAGCTCAGCAAACTTGTGTGCAACCCAATTTAAACATACTCTATGGAAGCCTCAACAGCATAAAAGCTTTCAAACATCTATTATAGGTGAGTTCAGAAAAGTTAAATAAAAGTGATAAATGATGAAGAAACCAGATCTGCAGTAGAGGAATGAACTAGCCACCCAAGAGGATTGTAGGCTCTTAATGTAGAGCATAACATTCACAGCAGCATGACAGATTTGAACTACCTATAAAAAGCTAGACATTCACAATGGGAAAAATAATTAAATACTAAGGCTGGAGGATTCTTTCCAAAGCTAAAAAGTAGGGGAGGGAGGGGAAAGCAGCAGCAGCAGTTCTGAGATAACCTAAGGTAGAGAAGAGCTGTGGGTATCTTATGAATTATCCAACTTTTCTTTTCCCAATTGCATGGAAAATTATGAAAAAGCATACAACCACCTTTTGTATGCTTGCTGTATTATTAAGTAGTTACTAACAACATCCATTTTACAAAAGGAACTGAGGTTTAAAAAGAATTAATTTCAAAGTCACAGATAGCATAAGGAAACTAGGATCTGAACCCGAGATTCTATTCCTAGGACATAGGCTTTAATTTCCAACTGTTACTAGCTCTGTTTATAATATCTATGGAATGCTTCAACTAAAATCAGAAGTACACAGATAGAATCATTAACCTTACCATAGATTAACCTGAAACATCATATGAAAACATTACTCTAAGAACTAAACTGGAAGACAGTGGGACCTTCACACCTCAAGTTCCTTACTACTGTTTTGGGATCTAGAATGCAGACACATTTCATTTAACAGACACTCATATTCAGAATTCTGTAAAGGTTTACTCAAGGAGCAGTAACTTAGAGAACTAAAGTTCTAAAATAGCAATCTCATCTTTGCTGAAGTAGTCAAACTGGAGAAATTTACCACTGTACTTTTAAAATGACCAGCATTTTATTAATGTTTCTGCCTAGTAAGTATTTTGGATAAACAATGGATTAGGTAAAGAATGGTTAACTCCAAATTATGATGAAATATGGTAGCAATAAGACATTTAAAACTTGTATTTTAACAAATTCAAAGAAATAAAATAGAAATACTTTTAATTTTTAAGGATGAGGCTATTTTTTTCTGGTCAGTATTCCTCATTTTTAAGTGTTAGTTAATCTTCGCGTTTAAAAAAAGATTTTATAACACAAGTTATAACACAAGTAAAGATGAATACTGATTTAAAAAAAGATTTTATAGGCATCCAGTTATCTATAAAGCCACATGTCCAAGTTGCCACCTTGGAAAACTGCATTCCAAAATGTGTTTGGACATCAGAATGCATTTTCTCCTAAGAAACATTAAAAATGTGATTATGTTTGCAAGATGCCTGGCAAATGTCTACTTAGTAAATAACACAGCTGAACTCTAATATTACTTACGTTTTTTTTCCATGAAAATACATATTTATAGTTTTATCTTGATTCAATCTCATTAAGGGCTTAGCTAAAACAGTCTATAATTATTGTTAATATATTCATATCATTAGACAAGTATCCATTATATACCTCTACTCTGGTTTACTAGGACTAACTGAAACACATTATCATTATAAATAAAGTTAATATTTCATCGAGGTTTGTCTAAATGGATTTTATTGTTTATGTTAATGTTTTTATTTTTCATATTCAAGAGGCAAAATCATTCTAGCATGAAGTCAAAATCTTCTAGTCAACAGAAAAACCAGAATTTTAAATTTACTTCAACAGTCCTATTAATTATTAATCTCCCAGACTTGCACAAAGATCACTTGTAAGACAAGTCACCTTGTGACCAGAATTACTAAAATAATCATTACGTATCTACAAGTACAGTTTATATAGCTAAGAGGATCTAAACTCAAAACTATTGCTCCCACCACAGATAGAAATCCTCCTTAAACTTACTTAATTTAATATCCCACCGATTTCAAAGCACTATTTTATGTACTAAGATAACGTCGATTTAACTATGGCATGCCATTGACTATAAAATGCTTTCTGAGGACCCTTTCAGATGAGAAATGTGTATTATAGTCTGAATACTTTACCTCTTAAATTCCCCCAAATACTATTCCTGCCTTCTTTTCACTCCATTTGCCTCCTACCAACAGGAGAACCTTTTAAGTCCTGGTTGGTGACTACATGAAACACAAAAGTAAAATTTATTCCATTTCAATGCTGTCATTGCTCTTATTAGCCATGGAGACTGCAAAAAAGGAATTTCTGAAATCATACCACGAGGTAAAAAGCTAAAGAATTTCACCCTGCCTTCTATTTCCCTCCTCCAGAAAGCAAAACAGGCATTTCGAGGTAGGAGAGTTGGGCAAAGTATACATTTTTCAAATGGGAATGAGAACTCAAATTCTAGTCCTGGCTAGCTGACCTGACCAAATCACTTAACCCGAGAATCTGTTTCTCGGCAACAATCTCTAAAGTCATTTCTAGCTCTGAAATCTCATCACAGAAGGCTTTTTTACTATAAAAAGTTATTTCTAAGTAGTTAGAACCAACGATCAGCTTCAATGGTCACAAGGCAGCCTCTGACTACACTCATCGCCGTGCATCTCTTTGGTTGGGTTTTGTTTGAACATGGAAAAATCTGTCCCAGAATCCACAGGAATAGAACTAGTCCTTTTGTCATCCACTTTGACTTACTTCTTGCTTATATACCTGTCCACTGTGACTTGTTTCCAAAAGCAACAGCCACTCCCCCAACAATACATCAAAACATGAACGGTTGCTACCTATGCACCTTAAAAAAGGTAACTCCTCATTCTTAACAATCAACCTATTTTAATAAGGATTCAGTCATTCTGTTCAGGTACACTTATTACCCCTTTGGCTATATGATGTAAAAAGAAATATTATAACTTGATACGCTTTTGTAAAATAACAAGTAACATTTATAGTATTTTTCACTAGAGAGCTTTCTGTTCCAATACAAAGACATATTAAGAGTGCAAACACTTTATAGAAAAAATAGATCAGAACGATGGCATCAGATTTGGATGTTGTCACTAGAAACTATAGACAGACTGAAATTTCCCTAAGTTTTGATCAAGAGGTAGTAAGAGACGTGAGGTTATAAAAAATATGTGATCTTAAAGCCCCTTCCCATACTTTAATTAAGCTTGAACTTGGAAGATCTAAAGGTTTCTGTTCTTATCCAGCTGCCTGTTTGGCCTAAAGAGCCAATGCAACAAAAATCACCACATAGTATTTAATTATGTAACACTAAATTAATCTTTTAAAATTTAGAAAATAATCTATATATTACTCTTTACAGATTACCATTACCTGCCAAACCCCCTTTTCACTAACAGCTTGTCTATATCTCACTAAAATAAGAGTTCAAAGAAGTAAAGCAAAATTTGCCTTTCTGGCTATCAACACGTCACAGGGTTGGGGGGAGGGGAGACAAAGTAGTAGGGGCGCTAATTAGAAACTCTGATCTCATTAAATTCATTAAAATATAGTCAAAATTTTGCCTATCCTCATTCTTTCTCACTTCTAAACCGAAAATTTAAATGTGATCAAACCAACTGCAGGTTGCTCCTTAAAAATCCAGCTTTTTAGATCTTACCCTTCCCTTCACTACTCACCTTTCAGACTGTATCATTCCAGCTCTAAGTACCAGAAGCCAGATTCAAGTAGATCCTACAGTATGTATTTCATGCAAAAGAAACAAACCCCAACAGACCACAACCTTCACTCAGACTAACAATGCATTCTACCTGCCTGGAAGGATCACAGATCATAAATTCCTCAGAATTCAATCCACAGAATAAAACAAGGACAACACTAAGAACCCTGCCTAGAGTCTAAATTAAAAAAAAAAACAAATCAGCTTTTAAGAGGACACCGTGTCCTTCCCAATGTGGCCAAGAAAAAATTAAAACAGAATATGAAGTCCTTGAATAAAATATCAAACAAAAAAATCTTTGGGGAAAAAAGTTAACCGGTCTCTTAGTAATACAATGATCTCCTATCATGACACAAACTTCAATAAGTTGCCCAAAATCAAACGGCCCCTGGCTGGTAATACATTTCTCAACCCACTCCATGCCAGAGGGCATTGCTAAAAACAAAACACTTACGTGAAACTATTTCATCAAATCCCAAGAACTTAAAGTGGGAAAGAAAAGGTGAGCCTCCAAGTAATTTACAAAGAACATCACATGAAAAAATATTACCCAGTTACTTCATACTTTGAAGGGGGGAGTGGGTGGCCAACAACTGACTCAGCACTATGTAAACAAATGAAAAAACATTTGTTTTTATGTGTTTGATTTTTACCTTTACCTGAAGTTCTCCCTGGAGAGACAGAAACACGACTTTTTCTTGTACGGTTTGACTGCTGGGGTGTTGGGGAATGACGAGCTTTTGGCGGTGGAGTTGCTGGAGGTGATGGCCTATGCCTCCGCCTCGGAGGACTTGCTGAAGGAGATAACCTACGAGTTTTTCGAGGGGGACTGGATGTCCTCTTGGGAGGCTTCTTTGGCGGTGACCGGGACCGGGAAGAAGAGGACGATGAGCTACTCCCAGACAAGGATGCGGATGAACGCCGCCTTCTGTGGGAAAAAAGTATTCATACTCATTAACTGCATTTGTGTAAAGAACGACCTCACAGGTATGCATAGGTTACACAGAAATACAGCTATTTTTATCTAACTTTTGAGTTTATGTAGCTAAGCACATAAATGAGTCTTTAAAAAATGGGAAACAAAACCATAACCTAGCACAGGAAACAGCTAGTTCTACGACTAAAGACATAAATTGTTCTGATAAATGCGTCTACTTAAGTTGTCTCTCCAGTTATAAGATGTGAAGTGCTGTAAAACAATAACCAGTCTCTTCCTTAGGAATATTAGTGTTTTGGAGTTTGCATACAAAATCTGGGTGGCAAAGTATTTTCCATTTAATAATACACTGTCGAGCAACCCTTAGGTTACATTTTTAAAAAGATGTGCAAGATTAGGAATTCATTTAGCTACATAAACTTAGAAGCAGGGGCCTCTCGAATTCTGCAGCAAAATTTGTGGTAAGTTCTGTTGCAATTATGTGTACCTGCAGAATTCACCTTTGGCGGAAGAATTCCTGAGAACCTGAAAAAAAGAAACCCTACCTTAAGTTTGAGATAAAAACTGCCTGAAAGGGAATCTTACACAATCTGCAAAATATTTTGATCGCTAAATGGCTCAGTAAGCACAAGTAAAACACACTGTTTGCAAAACTCCAAAATAGGAAATAGCTGTTTCCACTAATCTTGCACTAGAAAGCATCAGTATTACTTTGCTAAATAGGAATAATCAGTTTTAGAAGTGTGATGCCTAAATTGACTGACCATTTATATCTTTAGTCTCCTTTATCGATAACATCAATTCTATAATTTTTAAAAAGTTATAAAAATGATTCGATATACCTTGATGACCCCTCCACAAAGAAAAATATATTTTTAAAAATTATGGGATTCTGAAAAACCTCAAACTGCAGAAACAAATATTATGGAGCTTATTGTTCCTATTTCTAAGTTGATTTGGCTCCCTGAAAATATCTTAGACTTAAACACAAAAAAATCTGTCCTGAGTATAATCTGAAGCATAATCATCAGTGCTCCTTCCAAAAACAGAAGATACATTGTCAAGAAGCCACAAAACTTTGATACCAGTGCACCAGGCCTCTATTTTGGGTATTTAGCAATGGTTTTTATTAAATGAGATAGATCAAAACATTTTACTGTATGCTAATTTCAAGATAATTTTTTAAAGAATGTTGATATTGACAGGGTTACTTTTATGCCCAGTCTCTTCAAAATAACCAGACAACAAACTGCTAATAATGGTTACACCTATGGAATGAGATTTATGTTACTTGTTTGAATTGTTTACAATAAGCACTCATTATTATTATAATGAGCAAAAAACACTTAAAAATACAAAAGCATAATTTATGGACAGATTATTTTAATACAGGTAAAAGCAGCTTACTGGCTCTTTAGTCATCTACTTTTCAGAACCCAGTGGTAATTATAAGCCAAAAAAGAGAGAGAAGATGGCTAATGTCTTTGATAGGATTTCCTGGGGTATGAAAAGTAACAGTTAACATGAGGTATCAGTAAGATGGCGAATTTTTTATTTTTCAACACTAAACTGACATCATTTTTCATTGCACAAACAGCATTAAACCTCAAATGAGACGGGCTCTTTGGAAGACGTTATCTACTATCACTCCTAAGTTCTTCCTTCCAGGAGAACATTAATACAAAGATTAGCTTAAAACAAACATATGGTGCACTTTCATACACCTGACACTTCCAAGATTAAAAAAAAAAAAGAAACCCTCACCGTCTCACTGGAGATCTACTCCTTCTATGCCTTGGTGGAGGAGGCATTCGTCTTGGTGGAGTTCTTCTGCGAGGAGATGGCCGCCTTCTTGGACTTGGCCGCCTTCTAGGTGAGTATGATCTGCCATAACAAACAAAATTAGGACCTGAATAAATGAGGAATGCGGAATGAATTGCTTGATAGCTTTTCTCAACAGGTACATTTAAAAAATGAACTCAAGGGATACAATTCCATTTATGTAGATTTTTGTGACACAGAAAAAGTTCTCAATTCTCTCTAAATCTAAAGAATAACACTTTACTCAATGTTTTCTATTCTTTAAATCTATTTCTTTAATTCTTCTTAGGAGAGTAGCACATAAAATCTAAGCTCTACGCAGATCTTAAAGCCACAACTCACCTTGATCTGGATCTATGGCGTCGTCTAGGTCGAGTATGAGAAGGAGAGCGAGAACGTGTCCGGGATCTTGATTTGGAACGTGACCGAGATCTTGGCCGGGTCTTTTCCTTTTCCTTTTCTTTTTTGGAATTTTTCTCCGGAGAAGGTTCTTTAGGCTCTGGTACAGGTTCAGGCTTGGGAACTTTCAGGATGTCACTATGGAAAGAAAAAGCTTATTTTCCCCCATCTTCTAATCAGACTCCTAAGTTACAATTCAACAAATAAAGTTATTTCTCTTTAAAAAAATTTTCAAAATCTCTGAAGACTTCTCCCTAGCTCTAAAAGATTAATGAAATCTAGTGAGCAACTAACAGTTCTAACCACAGTTTTTTTTAAAGTGCAGTTATCCAGATATTGAGAAAAAAGCAAGTCACTGTATATAAAATATCTGAAAGAATACAACCAAAGGATAACAGTGGTCACCTTTAGGGTATATTATACTCTCCTACACTATCTGAAGTTCTGTTCTACAAACTGATTTTAATTTTAAAAATCTATTTTAAAAAAAAATCAAGTAATTTTATGTTAAACTCAGGTATAAGTTCACTTAATAATAGCCTAAAACTGATATTTATAAATAAATTTTAATGTACTTGCCTAGTAGAAGTGGCCTCTTGTACTGATGGTTCTTTTACTTTCGCTGATGGTTCTGGGAGCTCTGGAGTCTTTTCTTTCTTTTCTGGAGCAGGGGAAGGACTCCGGCTCTTGGTTCTGTGACGGGGAGATCGAGAATGACTGCGCTTTCTCTCTCTCCTGACAGGGGAAGATCGTCTTCTAGGGGAAGGAGATCTGGATTTGCGTCTAGGATGAAAGCAATTTTTTTCAAGTTTTTGAATAATGTGAATTGGGGGAGAGGGGTAAAGGCAGAAGTGAGAATTAATCTTTTAAATTCCACTATTGCTGTTTACATCTGAGAAGTTCCCATTGGAAATAAGATCTTATCATGTTTACTTGAGAGAAAAGGCCAAGAGAAAACCAGAAAGGCAAGCAAATGAATAACAACAGGCTCTAGTATACCAGCTTGAAAGGAGAAAAGCATTGACCTGGGACCCTGGATTTAGGTTCAATACAGCTGATCCTTGAACAACGCAGAGGTCGGGGTACTGACACCCTCCAGGCAATTTGAACTGCATTTAACTTTTGAATCCCTAAAAACTACTAATAGCCTACTGTTAACCAGAAGCCATATCAATAACATAGTCAATTAACACATATTTTCTGTTCTATGTATTGTATACCGTATTCTTGCAATGAAGCTACAGAAAAATGTTAAGAACATCATTAAGAAAAATGTATTTATTGAAAAAGAGCCACAAGTGGATCCCCACAGTTCAAACCCATGTTGATCAAAGGTCAACTATAAAGAGATTGTCCAATAATAAACCCAACAAAACAGATTAGATGCAGATAGATCCTATTAAAGTTCATCAGGTAGAGCCGTGGTATTACAGAAAAATGGCCAGTGCAATTATAGCGATATGCTCTTCAGAAGAGACATATCAAACTTACAAAAAATCTTTTGAAAGAGAAGTCCCTTTTCCTTTTCAAAAGTAGTTTCCCTAACTTAAAGTAGACCAGTATACCTGGTTCATCAGTAAGTCAAGTAGTTACCACTATGATTTGTGCTGAACACTAAATACTGCTCCCCAATAAGTAGATTTTAATATCAAACATATAAATGAAAAAGGACAAAGAAATTGCCTCCTCCCTTTACTAATTCCAGCAGATCCCTAAATAAAAAGACTAATAGAATTTTCACCTTTTAAGACAAATACAGTAGAAGCTGAATCGTGGATTTAAAAATGAGAACCTAACCACAGTATTGGAAGGAAGAAGAAAACAAATGATCTGTTTGGGGTTCAACAAATCATCTAAGAAACGCAGAACAGGGAATTAGAAAAGTATAATATGAACAATTAACGGGCACAGATTTCCAATAAAAAAAAATGTAAAGAAAAAAAGTTGGAGTGTACTAAAATATTAATTCAATTAAATACTACATTTAAACTAAAGCCATATGGAAAACAAGTCTAGATTTTGATTCAAGGATTAAGAGTTGAATAATTCAAGATTTTACAGACAATGACTAGTCAAATTGTGTCTCAAATGAAAGATGAAATTTTTTAGCCTAGAGACAAGCCATAGCTCATGAAAATTGTATGATAGAAGAAATTTCTTTAGTACTGTCAGCTTCCTTTTTAACTTTAACTTTCTACACACAGAATACCTGAATACCTAAAGTACTCATAAAACATTAGGTATACATCCATTGTATTCTACCTTCTTGGGCTTCGAGACCTCTCCCTTTTTTCTCTGCTGCTTTCTTTTTCTTCCTTATCCCTCTTGTCTTTGTCTTCATCTTGCTTTTTCATAGATGCCAACTTTTCTTGTTCAATCTGCAAAGATCAGGTTTTCAAAGTAAACATAGCTGAACATTTGAGACCAAGAAGCAAATTGAAGACTGCATATCTGATATCACACCAATGCTATAACTGTCTCTGCTTTTCAGCAAGAGCATATTCTTTCTTCACTACACACACACATTGAGATTGGCATTAAATAAATACTTGTTGAAAATTAATACCTGATCTAAAGAGAATGGCCGTTTTTAAAAAGTTATTTCACATTAATCTTTTGTGATTTAACACATATTCCCTGCATGAAGAGCTTTGTGCATACCTTTTACACTGCTATTTTTAAAAAATCTATGAAAACACTGGACTCTCAGAAAACGACATTCTAAACTCAATGTTTGAGTTAGGAGGGAAGGAGTAGTGAATCAAAACTCAATGTTCAAATATATTACAGAGTAAAGCAACATTCTGATCCTAGCTGGGTCAAGTAAAATCTAAAGTTGTCTCAGCAGTCCAGATACTACTCTCAAATCTATGTTACAAAAAAAGAAAGTCTTACCTGTCTCTGTTTTATTTCTTCTTTCTTCAGTTCTAGGAAAGCAGAAGGAATTCCAGCGATGTTTTCTTGTGCACTTAAGAGAAGGGGCCACAGTTCTCCCATAAATTCTCTAGCATTTTTTCCATTCAAAAACCCAGTCAGGTTGATTTGCATCATTTTGGAGTCTGGATTCTGCAAAAAGACATGACAGGAAGAGAAACAGGTTACTTCGAAACAAACCAATGAACCAAGCTAAAACTCATTTAAATTAGTATTTTTTAAGTCTACCATAGGGGCTTAGATAAATATTCTTTACTATTTTAAAAAGTTTTCCCTAGTAGTTTCTCAGCAACATAATCTCTAGCACAGATTACCAAATTCTCTCACTCTACCAAAAGCATCAGAGCAGCCTGTTAATCCTTTGTGGATTTCGTAAGTATTTTTAGACTATGTGGCTGTTAGTGGGTCTTACGTTTATTAACTTTAAAAACCATCATGGAATATCCATAAATTCTTGTATTTATTTACTAACAAGGAAAAGTGTCTGCTCACCTAAGAATTCTCCCCTAATGAGAAATGGAAAAAGTACATAAGCTGTTCACTTCTCTAACACTGTAGATAGCTTTCCATAAAATATTCATAGTCCAATTATGAAAACTAACAAGTTATGCATGCATTCTGTAACCTTTGAAGACTAAGCTGAACACCTGACTTCTACATAAGGAAAATCTATTATAACAATGCCTCAAATTCTCAACTGTCCACAAAGGGCTAAGAGGTCAAGATTTCTCAAAAATAACTGGGTTTTTTAATGCTAAATCTGTTGGTCAAGCAACAAGGTCCATATAACAAGCACAGCTCAATAGCACAAAGCAAGTACAGATTCCAGGTGTCTTCAGTTTCTTCTTGGAACCTTGGGGGTTTGGAATCGCCAAGTCCCCTGTAGAGAAAGATGTTCCCTTGGCTTGCTTCCGACTCCCTACTGCAACTCAACCACCTTGAGTTTAATGTTATATCATTTATCTAAATTGCAAAAGACGAACAAGCAATAATGAGTACACAACCACAAAAAAAGAAAAGATCGTTAAAAAAGTTCTAAACTTTAATCTCATGCTCACTACAAGGGGAATACTACCAGATACTTAATTTTTAAAAATGCACTAAAATACAAATCAGTAATGCATATCTCCAATAAAATCTATCTTTAATCATCACTTTAAAAATGTTTTCCCATGTTTCTAGTTTTCTACATAAAATATATACATATTAAAGAAAGTGCTTTCTTAAAATTAAATAATCTTTAAAAATGTTCAGAAAAGTGTAATTACCAAATTATTTTTTAAAATATAAATACCTTATCAGTTGAAATGCCAACTGTTTTGTCAAAACACAAGGGTGAACTCTTTGGAAAAAGGATTAATGTAAAAGTAAATTCACATTGGTATATTTGCCAAAAAGGTCAAATGATACATCTTACTGGCCTTTGGGTTGTCGTGCAAATAGCAAACTACCTTATAATAAAATTTTAAAACATTAATTCTAGCATCTCATATTATCTCATGTATGAAGAATGGAACAATTAACTGGTTCTAACAATGCTGCCAATTTCAGTCTGAAGTTAAAGTATAACGTAAACAAAAACTGTGTCTAAATGTAATTGATGACTAGCTGACATGCAGCTACAACTAAAGTCTTTAGTTTCTTGATTATTTTAAAAACAATATCCTTTCAAATCAGAATTGCCCCTTATGCTTCACATAAACGTCCATCTCATAATAGTAAAAATTTTTAAGAGCAGTGTATAGATTTACCCAATTGCTCTTTCCTGTTTGTGTTTTTTTGTTGTTGTTGATGTTTGGCCACTTTACACAACTCACCTCCAAACACACACTGCATCATCAAGGGAGTTGGGTCAGAGCGACATTGGGACACTCACTCTGCTGTGACCTAATAAGGTGATGGTGCTATACTTCAGACGCAAGGAATAACTTCCATTTTGGTTCAGGCCTTTTAAATCATAAATCACATTATCATTAGAAAATTGCTGTCAAAGTAACTTAACATGTAACAGCAAAATTACAAACAATAAGTTTGATTTTTCACCTGTGTAGCTTTCAAAACTATGTACCTTCACTAAACTTCCAGCCTTAATAGTTGTTTACAAAGTGAATTCTTTTCACAATAAACATTGTAAAATAACCTTCCTATAATTGTATTCCATAGAAAAATTCAGTTTCCATAGATACACAAAATTATGTCACAAATTCAGAAATAAGAACCATCTGTATATTATTACCTTCACTTCCAGCTGGTTGAATATAAACTCAATCACAACATCATCTTCAAACCCAAGGATTTCTGTTACTCGTTTTGTTATCCAAGGCTTTATAACCTCCAAATTTACTTTGCTCATGTCCACCTGATAAAACATGCAAGCAATTATTGAGTAAAACCTCACAATCCTAAAAGCTCCCTTAAGAGTTTTATCTAACAAAGTTCCTTTTAGCTTATGAATTTTTTTGTACGGCATGGTATAACTTGGCTTATTCTTATTTGGTGGCCATATTTTGTGTATGTTGTTGCTAAAAGGTGAAAACGTTTAATTATGAATGTTTTCCTTAGCAATTATAATATGGTGCATCTCCAGAACAATCCCAAAATGTCTGAATGAAATGTGTTACACAGGTGCAAAACAGTTTTATCCAGAATACCTTTTTTTCTAAGCATTCTGCAAATTTCAGCTGCTTCAGAAGCTTCTTCTCTTGTTCCCTACAGGAAGAGAAACACATTTTAATTAAGAGTTCAAAGTTAAATTCCTGCTTTTTGTCAGCTGATAATGGTTTCTGACCTTTACAGTCAAAACAGGGTAATCAAGTAAGTAGAAACACCATAGCTAATATTCATAGATGCAGAACGCATATTTTCCCCCAACAGAGCTGACATTTTGTAAACTTGACTGTATTTAAAGTACAAAATAAATGCTCACTTTAAGAAGTCAAACAACATAGCAGTACTTAGCAAAATGCTAAAAACCTCCCCACAACCAAGTTAAGTTCAATGTGTATCTTTTTAAACTTTTCTATGCTAATAGACACTTAAGACTTTGTTTAAATGAGAACTCATTGAATAACTTACTATGCTTAATGTATATTTTCAAATAAGACCATTAAGTTTCATCCTCTTCTCAAAGCCAGTAGCTTGTTTGCAAAATATCTTGGCAATGCATACATAAACAAGGGGGATAGGAAAAAAACACCCTAGGCCTCCATTGTGTTAGTTTACAACTTTAAGAATTTGGATCAACTTTATTAAAAACAAAATATCTGACCTCACAACCTACAAAATAGACTTAAATATTTAGTATATTCCCCATTTAAGCCAAGTATGTTGGATCTCCCATATAAAATACATATTTCTTGAAAAACAGTATCAGTACAGTATGATTGCATAGATGGCTATTAATAAAAATATTTTAAAAACTTAAAAGAATTTGGAATGCATGAAAAATACAGGTTTACCTTAAAAAGCTTAATCTCAGCAAAGAATTTGGAAAAACGAATTTACAGATACTACATCAAACCATCAAGTGATCATTAGTCTTGTTGTTCCTACTGGCCCAATACAGAAATAACTGGCCATGTGAATGTGAAATCTGATTGGTTTGTTGAGTTGGCCACTATCCCTTGGAAAATGATCAAGAAAAATTTTGTTTGGAAAGGTAAAGTACCTGGATTAGATAGAATTCCAACTCTGCCATTACTTAAACTATATGTTCTCAAAGCAAGTTACTTAATCTCTCTGAGAATGTTTCCTCACAGCACTGTAGATATCAGAAATGATATATGTAAAGTAACTGGCAAGTGGCAGTTCATCTAGTAAAAGCTATCACCTTTATCTTAACTGAAATTCAATTTACTATCTGATTGGCAGTGTACTAAAAAGATAACTGCCCTAAAATCTTTTAATTCTGAGCTTAAATCCAGTCAACTCCTCTAAGGAACTGTAGGCAGTATAACGAAAAACCGTACACCTTTCCTCCTGACTTTTATCGAAACCACAAACTTTGTTTTTAAGCTTATCAACCACCTTGCTCCTCTTCTATTGGCACTCCATTCCATGGGAAATAAAAATATCAAAATAGGCTTTTGCTTCAAAATATTACATTTGGACCACAGGAAACACTGAGTATTTACTACATAATACTTTGATGAAAATTCCAAAATGGAGTTTATTAGCTGGGTGAAATTTGATAAGCTCTCAATTGAGACTATCATTATATAAACATAGTATCGTTTGCATAATCTAAGAACAGTCAAATAACTATTTTAAGTCAAATGCATGAAATATTGCAACTTAAAAAAAAAGTCGGCACACTTAAAGTCGACAGAGACATTTCAACACGGGCTATCAAAAACGTTATCTTCAAGTCCTGGTCTTCCCCCTCTTCCAACTTTTCCTTTAAAAACACACAAACTGCATATTATATGGTCCGGGGAGTGGGAAGAGCCAATCTACATTACATAAAAAATAGATTTTAACTCAGACCTACCGATCTCTATATAGTCCGTGCTGCACTAAAATTTGCCAACTCTAATCCTATTACAGTCGCTTTCCACCCTTCTAGATCACGACTGGGTGTTCATTTCCTGCAGAAGTGGAATCAGGGGACAAACAAGAACCCGCAGGAGCCTAACAAAGTCTGGACCCCGAGGACAACTACGTCGTCGTAAATTCCTGGTCTGCAGGTGATGGGCGCACAGCCCCGGGAGAACCTAGCTAAGGGGCACCTTTTCTCCAGCGGACTTCAAAGGACTAAAACAATCGGGGGGAGGGAGCGAGCGGGAAGGAGTAGGAGTTGGTCCACCCTATGCCTCCCTCCACACACGCACACACTTTTTGTTGCACCCTCTGCCGTCAAGAGAGTCTCAGATTCGAATGTTACGTATTACCTGAGTTCCCCTCCCTGAAGGAATATCAAATTGGGCGGGAGCTTCCGCGAACTCTGACCCGGAGCTTTCGCGAAAGCTTAGGAACGGAGGGGGAGGGGGTCGGTGCCCGCTTTCTCCTTAAGTGGTCGCTCAGCGCTGTTTCCTTTCCTCTCTCTAGCACGCTCTCCTGGGGTAGTACCCCTAAAGCTGAACTCTCCAGAACCCTTCCGCCGCCAGTCACCCCAGGGCTTCCCTCCGGCCTCCCCCCAGGGACTTCCTCCTCGCGGCTCCGCTAGGCCCCAGGACCCGGCGGCGCGCGTGGCTTAGCCTGCAGGGCCCGCCACACAGGCGGGAGGCGAGGTACCGCTCCAGCTCATTCCCGCCGCCATTTTCCGGCGACCGTCGCCGCCGCGTAGGGGGGACGATCCGGGAGGAGGAGACTGCGCAGGGGCGCACCGGTCTCCGCCGCAAGGCAAGAGAGATCGTCTGCTGGCGCTGAGGATCCTATGGATCTTCGAAGCGCCCCCCGCTAGGCACTCTGCCTCAAGTTTAAGCTTCCTGCCGGGCCTTCCCGATAAGCCCCTACCCTCACCCCAGATCCCCGCGCTTCTACTTACGCGGAAGAATCCCGCGTCCATCTTGCTGCCTCGCTCGGAGATCGCTCCCTATCCCAAGATGCAATGCGCCGTCGCGACGGAGGGCGGGACCGGCAAGGAAAGCGGAGCGCCCGGACGCAGCGCGCGCCGCTCCACTCGCCCCTCCAGCCGACACGAGGCCGCGCCTGCTCAGTACAGGGAGCGCCCGCCGTGCGTGCGCAGGCGCACCCGGGAGGCGGGTGCTGTCTGGTTCCGAACCTCCCAAGTAGCCTGTCGGGAGGAGAGCCTCGTGATCGCAGCCAATGGGAGCAAGAGAGAGAGCTGTCGGGTCGCCCCGCCCTGCGAATCTTTTGTGGCGCGTGATCAGTCTTGTTCGCGCAGGGTGACTTGACCCATCGTTCGACCCGTAGTGGGGGAGGGCTCCCGCCGTGGGGGTTCTAGGGAGCGATTGAAGAGAAAGGCTGTTACCTCAGAGTGACGCTGGTAAGGAGGTCCCTGCGAGGAAAGGGAGCCTGCGGCCTTCCATGTCATTATAAAAGTTGTCATTGTATTGGTTTAATGAGCTTACCGGTTATGAGATGGGATCTAAAAAGTAGTGGAGCTCTGCAGTGTGAATGAAATCTGCGTCCTGACTTAGTTTCGTGCGTTTTCTCTTATCCACGTAACGCTCTGGTTTTTGGAAGAAACTGGCAAAGAACATTATTTGAGTTTCGGTTTCGGCTGCCAGGGAACCACGCTAACTGGCAGGAAGCTGATGAGAGATCCTTGGCCCTTAGGCCGCATGTCGGGCAGGGATCCGACCAAGCAACGGGCTGCCCGTCCCCTCAGAGCCCATGGCCTCTGTCTCGTTTTGCCTGCCTGGGCCTCCAGCTTTGGATCCATTTTGCCAGAATTCCACTAAGCGCTTTCTCTTTCTCTAGGGAGAAGCACGTGTCCCTTCTCTGGTTTTTATTTTTATTTTTTATTTATTTATTTTTGTTTTGGTAAAAGACCTCAAACAATCACCTCTTTCCTGCCTTTTCCTCACAGCACTTACCCAACTGAAACTAAGTATTTGTTCACTCTTGAGGTTTTAAAGACCAACTATATGCTGACAACTTCTGTTTATCTCCAGCTCTGACTTTTCTCCCAAAGTTCAAATTCCTGTAGGCTACTTCCTGCTTGACATTTCCGTTTGGATAGATTTCACAAACTCAAATTGACCAGGAACTGAACGCCTCATACCTACAACCCCTCTTCCCTTACCCACCCTCCCCATCCCACCTGCCCCTCAAAAATCTCCTTTGCCTCTTACATCTACTTCCAAACCATCAGGAAACCCACTCTGCTCTAATTCAAGTTCAAGACATCATCATCTTTTGTCTGAACTTCTGCTCTGGCCTCTTAACTGGTCTCCTTGTCACTCAGCATCTATTCTAAATGCAACAGAGTGACCCTATTAGAAGACCTTAGACATGTAATTTTTTGGCTCAAAACCTTCAAGTAGCTCTTCATTTTCTCAGCACAAAAGCCCAAATCCTACCTGATTACCCCTCCCGCCTTCCCCTGCTACCCCCATTCTTTGATTTCATCTCCAGGTAAAGTAAAGCTGTTCACTGCTTGAACTTTCTAAGCTTGCTTCTTTCTCAAAACCTTTGTGCTGGTCATAACTTCTACCTAGAATGCTTCCCCCACTCGCCCCATATCTGCTTGGCAAATTTCAAGTTTATACTCAAATGTCACCTACGCAATAAGGCCCGCCCTGGCTGCCGCATTGGAAATTGCTTACGTACCCTCTCTATACCCCTGATGCCTCTTAATCTACTATTTTTTTTTTATAGCATTTATTACCTAATACTTGTTTACCTATTTTTAATGTTTGTTTATTTTCTGTTCCCCACAGTAGAATGTAAAGT